AGAGTTCGCTGCTTTTAGATGTTGTCTCCAAAGTCTCCAGTAGCAGAAAAAAGTCTCTAGATTTGGCGCTAGGAGCTTTTTAGAAATCAAAGTGCTAGAGGCGTCTAAAAAGTGGCTAAATATAGCGACTAAAGCGCTAAGTTGGCAACATTTGTTTTCAAATGGTTTGCTGCTGTCTGTCTGGACCTAATTTTGGGGGATGGGGGCTGAGACACACTTATTATCAGCGTTCTGATGGTATTTTAGAGAAAGGATTTTTATCAAAAACATAATTAATGTGCACAAACAAGGAATAGCTTTGTTCCGCCACGTAATGTGTGTGTTCTCATTGTAAACTCGTCATGGTGTTTTTACTCCAGGTTAGTATAGTTCAGGTTTCTTATAAGAGCCAATAACTAATTAATCCAGAAACATCCATAAAAACCTCAAGGAGATTCTTCCCGGTTTCTGCTTTTAACAGATCTCTGTCAAAGAGGCCTTAGAGCTAAATGTAATAGATGTGTTTGTTTTGGTGATGAGGACTGATTCATTTGTCCCACTGGAAACTAGTTGTGTACAAAACGTGTTTGTAGAAGGCTGGTCAAAGTCTGCCTGTTTCACAAGGCCGTGTCTGAGTTCATCCGGATTGTTTTCATAAAACCCTCTGCAGCTTCACATCAGTTAACATCTAAAGACCTTGGATTCCTACAAATATAGCTTAACTTCTCCAGGAAAACGATAACAGATTATCCAGGCGTCTGACTACAGGAACTCTGAGGGTGGAGAGGAGAGTTCAACAGAGGCCAATGCTGTCATTTCAGCAGCATGTGATCAACTGTGGTCGGTTACCCACTGCGTTATTTAATGCAGAGTAAATAATACGTGTTTTCTGGTTTAATTCCCTGTATGCAGTTAGAAGCCTAATGTCACCAAACAGCTAAAGAGGCTGTAAAATAAACCCGAGCTAACGCGGAGTTAATAACACGGAAGCCGAGCAGGCTCAGAGCCAAACGACATCCGCTGAGAAAAAAAGCTCTGATGCTAGCAGAGCTAGCTCGACATGTCAACAACAACAACTAAAAACTCAAACCCCGAGCTTTATAAAGCCAACAACTGTCTGTTTTTCAAAGCACACAGCATCTGTGTGACAGAGGGAGCTCACTATGAGACATTTCAACGCTGTTTTTAGAAGTTTGGCTCGCTGACTGGAAGCTAACGGCAGCTAACTGAGCTAGGCTAGCAATTTGTTTGGGTTGAGCACCAACTGCCCAAAAACCCGCTTCCTCTCTACTTAGTAACCTCTGATTACCGCAGTCTGGCTCTGGGGATTCAAACTAGCAACTGTAACTGCCTGGTAAACAGTTTAAGCCTAAAAAGAAGAGTTTAGTTGTGTTTAAAGGTCATCTCACCACACTAGATCCCCGATCCTGAGATGCACCGCCGCCATCTTTCAACTTAAATAAAACGTCGCACTGAATGAGAGGAAAAGACGCCACACACCCACCGGAACTCCTCCTCCCCGCGTGTGTAACACCCATCCCAGTCCCCCAGGCTGATTCAACAACCAAACATAAACACATATTATACTGAATGAAAAATACGTTATAATAACCAGAAATATGAGCTGAAACGCTCTGAAATCACAGATGCTTAAAATGTTTCATACTTCACATCATTAATTAAGTAGAATAATATGTTATGATAAGTAAAATAATGTTGAATGCTTTGTTAGTAAGTTTCCTCATTTATGTACAGTGCTAAACATGTTTATTGAAACCAAACAGATGTTCAAAAAGTCAAATGATAATAATAAATAATAATAAAATAATTTTACTATCAGTCAGAATCTGCTTTAATCGCTGAATTAGAGCTTAAAACCCAGAAATCTGAGATAGATGCACTTAGTCTCATCTATCATGAGACAAACAAACATCCATCCATCATCCATCCATCCATCCATCCATCCATCCATCCATCCATCCATCCATCCATCCATCC